ATTCTTCGATTGCAAACACGTGACTAAAAATCATGACGTCATTAGCGTCGGCCATTTTGGTGGTGCAAATATGGCGTCTAATGTAAGCTCACGAGGCAATCCTATAGAGTTTTCGGAATATTACGATTCTATGGTTGAACCTGTCAAGGATAGATACAGGGAAAAAGTGCAAAACATCGGATTTGATCCCTATTCTTTAAAAAATGGTGATTTCAGCGAAKATTGTGCAAAAATTCCTAGCATCGTATACCCAGATATCGTGAACTACTTGGTTCTCCAAACATCTTGGGCTACCAATAAGCAGATGAGAGCGTACAAATCAATGGACGCGTATAATTTCTTCGTATCTGGCTGGGTCGGCACTCTCTTGATGAAAGAGGTACATCCAAACAAAACGCTTGTTTTTGCAAGGGTGAGTCATGAATATCTTGTATAGTAGTTATGCACCTATCAATGTTAAGCCCCCCAGGGATTAGATCAACACTTATTGTCCCCACAGGGGCATTTACCAACAATTCTGTCGCCAGGGTCGGAAATTTTGCCAAATTTTGAGACTGTATGACTCCTGAATTTGTCCCAAGGTAGGGATTTTTAGATGAGTTTGACCCCGTTCAGAATCCTGAAGAGGGGGAATTTGACCAAAAAAGTTTAAAGTTTCTAGTCCAGCCTCCCCCGGGGGCTTAACCRAAGCAATTTAAAATATTTCATTAGCTCCTTATGCTCAACTAATTGTTTTCTTTTGATTATACAGGTAAATCATTCACAAAGAGCGCGAGAAACCCCTTTAAAGACATGGTTTTTCACCGAAAATGATGGCACTGTGATTACCGCACACTGCAACTGCATGGCAGGCTTGAGTGAAGCATGTTCCCACATTGGTGCCCTTTTGTTTGCCTGCGAAGCTGGTTCAAGAATTGAGGGACTGAAAACATGCACTGGAAACAAAAACAAATGGTTAATGCCCTCCCATGTTAAGGAAATTCCTTACCTACCAGCATCAGAGATGGACCTAAGGTCGGCCAAACAAAAACATAAGATGCTGTTAGGTGAGGGAAAAACTCCGTCTGTCTCAAGAGATCTACCAGCAGGTAATGCCAATGGTATTCAAAATAGAACTACTCTAGAAGAACAAAACAGTTTCTTTGAAAATATATCTTGTTGTGGTACTAGACCAGCAATATTATCTCTTATGGAACCATTTAGTGACCTGTATGTCCCAAAAYAAGTGAATTTGCCCAAGCCTATCACAGAGAGGTTTGATAAAGAACCTGACCTAGATTTCACTAGGCTTCTTGAAAAGTGTTCCAACATTGAATTTCRAATCACTCAAGAAGAATGCAAAGCTGTTGAATCCAACAYGAGGGGGCAAGCCTCATCAAGTCTTTGGTTCAGACAAAGAGCTGGCCRCATAACAGCATCCAAATTGAAGTCTGTTTATTGTTCCAGAGCTACAAAGCCTCCAGCAAGCTTGGTAAAGAGCATTTGCTACCCAGAGGCTCACAAATTCAGCAATGTTGCCACTAACTGGGKAAAAACAAAGGAGGCAGTTGCACGCAGTGCTTRCCAGAATGAAATGGAAATTGTGCATGACAATTTCACAGTGTCAGATAGTGGACTCCACATAAATCCAGAATGGCCCTTCCTTGGAGCATCACCTGATGGCTTGGTATGYTGTGACTGTTGTGGGTCGGGTGCTTGTGAAATTAAGTGTCCCTACAAAGATATTGATTTGGAACCATGGGAAGCAGCAGAAGAGAAAGGATTTTGCTTAAAAAGGGATGGCAATAAAATTTTATTGGATAAATCACATGGTTATTACTATCAAGTACAGGCACAACTTTTCATTTGTGATATTGAGTACTGTGACTTTGTTGTTTGGACACCAAGAGGAATATATATTGAGAGAATCCTTCCTGACTTAGAACTTTGGAGAGGAGTTTTAATCAAATCARAAGATTTTTTCTACAAAGCTATCCTCCCAGAGGTAATAGGACAGTGGTTCACAAGATCTTCCTTGCCATTTGTTGAACAACCAGTAGCCTCAGATGATGATGATGCTTATTGGTGTCTATGTCAGCAGCATATTGAAGGAAGCACCCTTGTTCGTTGTGAAAACACAGATTGCAAAATCAAGTGGTATCACTTAAAATGTTTAAGGATGAGTAAGGAGCCAGAGGRATACTGGTTGTGTCCTGATTGTAACAAGTCACAGAAATAGTGTGTGATAGCTAGGGTAAATAACATGGCTGTGTTACAATATGCAACTTAAAATCTCAATATTCACCTTATGGCCATGTTATTTACCATTTCTTTAAAAAGGAGTCTTTTTCGTTTTCTTAATTTCAAAGATGGCATTTCTTAAAAAATCTTAGCAATGCAACAGTGAAGCACATAAGGGCTATAATTCATTTTATTATTCAATCATCTACTGTCATATAAATTTATATACTAATATTGACAATATACAACCTTTTATATAAAATGCAATGCAACATGGGTTTATTTTTGATGCAAAAAATCAGCAATTACTTATCAGCTTAAACAAAAATCATATTAAAATAAGATATATTGATATATAAAAATATAATAATATTATAAAAATACATGTATAATCACCATAAAATATA